AAAACTGACTTGACCTCGTCCTCAAGTCTCCTGTCCGGGACGGCAGAATACCTAGATCTAGATCTAGGCCTACCTCAAGATCTAGTCAAGTAAAGTCCCTACAAACCTTAGCGATAGAAGCCGCAATACATCATGTTCATTTGTGTTTTAAAAAATTCGTAAAAGTAAATAGATCTAGATATTAGATCTAGATCTATATTCTAGATCTACATGAAAGTTGCATTCACCGTTGGAGACGTATAGACTGCCATAGATCTATTTGCGCACTTGGACTTGGACTTGTGCATCCAGTCAGCAGAGTTCCACAAAGTATGTTAATATTTTTGTAGCCTACCATTTACTTTAGGGTAGGTTGGTGAAAATTTGACCATGGGGCAACTCCGGCAGCCTCAACCTAGACTTGGCTTTGGGAAGATTGAAGAATACCGGACCACCACTCGTACATTATTGTGCAAGAAAGTGGGGTAGGTGGGGCGGGTGGTTGGGGTGGAGGAGGGGGGTTCAGGGGGGTCTCCCCCCTGACAAAATTTTAATAAATAGACCTACCGGTTCGAGATTCTCCATTGAGAGATATTAAAAACAGGAAAATTATGAATTGAGACATAGGCAAAGTCAGTCCGCTGGTCCGGTATTCTTCAATCTTACCCTTGGCTTTTGAGAAGGCCACCTCTATTCTCACCCCAGGTGAGAATAGCGCTGGTGAGCCTTTTGACTTTAGGTTAGGACAGTTAGGTTAGGCTATTCTCACCCTGTGTGCCTTCACCGTGATAGGCCAACCAGTGTAGCGTTCACCATGAACAAACTTTCCAGCGCTCTTGTGTTAAAAGCGTGCAATTTTGACTGTGGGCAGTGAGAGAGAGAGAGACAGACAGACAGAGAGAGAGAGAGGAGTAGCGCGAGAACTTTTGGGCGAAATAAAATGGCGACCTTCGTAGTTCGGCTCAATTCGAAAAGTTAAATAACCGTAGCATCTTTATAGACGAACAAATTAATTTACTTTTGTGTTTTAACGTCATTTTTTCTTTGTTTTTTTGTCTATTTGATCATCCACACCGATAGACAGTATTCCGAAATTAGGAAAAACAGGTCTTATTTCACACCTGGTGAGAATAGCCAACGCTGGCAAGTCTCACCCGAGGTGAGAGGTCGATCGTATTTTTATTCTCACCCGCGGTGAGGATAGCCTCTTCCTTTCAGAATTATTTTACCCCTGTGTCATGGAATTATAATTGCCCACTTTTAGCAAGTATTCTCCGGCTTCGCGCCGGTCAATAGATCGGAAGCTATTCTCCGACGTCACGCCGCCGGTCTATTAGTATTACTACTGAATTACAATGTATTTGTCGGCGCAGATTATTCTTCAGTTATGTTTAATCAAACTTTCGTTTCCTTAAAGGCCTTAGAAGGTTCATTTAACTTCAACTAAAATTAGAAATGTTGATTATGTGAATTTACATGATGATTTATTAATTATAATGATGGGGTGAGATTTTGATGGTTGGTGCAAATTCCACAGGGAGAAACAGGGCAACCTCAACAGGGGGGTGGGCCAATTTCTACCTACCAGCTTCATAAGCAGAATCACCTTTAACAAACTATCACATTTCATTAACTCTTGTCCTGCGTCTGTGCTGAGATGCGAATCTTATCTGCAACCGTTTACGTCGGACATGCCGGGCAGGCTGCCGGGGTCACTCAGTGTGTACTGTTGGTGTACAGCGCGCGCGCCGGGAAACGTGTGTTTTCGCCATGAATACTGTGGGAGTGTGTTAATCGATGATGAAAATAACGCTCTTTCATAGCTTTCTATTTATAAAGTGTTGGAAACACATGAATAACCCCCTCTCACAAGCTGATAAGACATTACGAGAAGTTACGCCCATTCAAATAACCTTTCTGGACGCTCTTGTTGTTATGAATGACCTGACGTCGAAAGGGGATAATATAGGTCAATTTCTGAATATTTTGCACTCAAATTGTTCTTTGTACCTTCACAGTGGTATTCAAAGCTATCAAACAAGCTGATTTTTTATCAGGTAGTATCATTTCATACAAAATCAAGCTCATTTTAAAGATTTTGTATAGAAAAATGGAAGTATTGTTTCCTGACTATCTTTTCAAGCTCCTCATGTCTAAGTGGGTCAATTTCTTCTATAATTTCATTGGAGGAACATCTAGAGCTACCAACTTGGCGTGTTTTAAATGAGACATATATGCCTCGATTACGAACCAACGCAGGCAGTTCTAGAAGAAGGCCATACGCACACAAACTCAAGCAGACTGACGCACACACACTTGACCTGCGTGAATGGGGATCCGATCGGGACCCGAATTTCACGTAAGATGGTGCGCGTGCACTGAGCCAGGGGTTACACTGATTCGGGACCAGAACGTAAGCGAGGTGCTGAAATAGGCTTATTGGGCGACGTAAACCCGTCCCCCGCAGGACAAGGGTTAATCTTGTTTGTTTTTTATCGTTTTCATCATTGGTCGAAATTCCTTGGCCTGTCAAATACAAACGAGCAGAAATTTAGACTTAGACTCTAGATGTAGACTGCTCAACTATCGTATTTTCGGAGAGAGAGGGAGAGAGAAAGTGTGTGTGTGTGCACGTAGGCCTATGATGTGAGCGCGTGTCTTCATGTGTGAGCACGCTTGGAGAATGAGGGAGAGGGGGGAGAGAGAAGGACAGGGGGAGAGAGAGAGATAGATAGAGAATTCAGCATTCTGGAGGAGTTGAGAGAGAGAGAGAGAGAGACAATAAGTTCAATAAGAACCCAGTACTGTTGAAGATATCCGCCACCTGTCAAAGTTGCCCATCGCCCCTGTCAGTCAGTATTCTTACTCTTTCAGGCTATGTCTAAATTGCCCCATGCTGGGGGTCGAATTTGCACCACCCCCTGTCGAAGTTGCTCCAAGCGAGGATGCCGCAAAGTCGTGATTGGTTGAAAATTCGGAATGCAAATAAAGCTAAGAACATAATAATCGATAAGTAGAATGGCTGTTTGACACAACAATACTAAGATGGCCTGTGTTCTTTTATAAAGGCGGGAGAAGTATCTGTTACTTTTGCGGCACTACACAAACCTGTCGAAGTTGCCCCAACCAGCCCAATGCTTATTTATCAACAACCATAGGCATAGATATGTCATCTTCTGCATTCTGCATTTTATCATAGTATATAATCACATATTGCAGTTGAATCTGTAGTCTATTTTGGACGCTCCATTGATCTGTCGGTACTACTTTTAACCCTATCCGTACGTCGTGTTTTAGATTCATACGACGTGGGGAACTCTGTGTCCCCACTTTCCAAAGAGGAAATTTACTTGTTAATCCGATCCGTACGCTTTGCATAGCAGTCTGTCAAAATAATTTTTTGAGAAATATGGAAAGTTTGAAAGAGATCTTCGCACTAGAAGTATTCTAAAATGTGAAGAATATAACCTGGCAATTATTTACCTTCTCGCGTTTAATTCCAGCCGCGCCCAGATCAAGATCCAGACGAAACTCTATGCATCCCCAACTTGATACATTCATAACTTTGCGCTGGAGTTCAGAATATGTAAACCTCAGCAATTTCATCATTTGTAGGTAGCAACATTTACATAGATCTACTGACTTTAAGTCTTCCGTAGTGCTTTTGATGGCCATTGAATAATATTCATAGAGTTCAGAGTGGTCATTTGTTACGAAAGTCCTCCCCCGGAATTAAACGCGAGAAAGTAAACAATTACCTACAACCCCTGGGGTTCAAAATGACCCCGGACATACAGATAGGATTAAGAATATGGTAGAGCCAGAGTCTGCCCTATTAATCGAAGGCTTGCGAGCAGCGGACGGCTAGTGCCGGAGGCTTGCGAACAAGCTTGTCGAGTGCTTTGCTTTGTCTGTCGCTCGCTGCCGAGGGAAACTTCCGGTGACTTGTGACTCCCGGACAGGCTTGTTATACAGTGTCATGATGTCACGAACTCTCGTGGCTGTGGGCTCAGTACATAATATTATTACAGAAGATTCTGATTATTTGCATCGCTCTCTGGTTGAAGGTTGTTTGGGGGTTTTTACATAGTCGGGTTTCCAAAAAAAAATTGCTCTATTCTATGCACTTAAAAATTAATAATGGACTGGCTATTCATATGATACAAAGGCCTTTTTTAAAAAATGTGCACGAGTCAAGTGCTTCGTCGTCGCACGCTAACGACCTCAGTTCGATTTCTGTATGGGGAGAAATTTTTACTGAGAACCTCCGTCTTTCTGCTGGGGCGTTGTTCCCTCTCAGCCCAGATTGGCCCTGACATTGGGTTGGGGTAACCCGTCTCCTAAGTGTTCTATATTATGTCATTGGGAGTGTAAAATATCCACTATACATACAATACAAAAGCTAATCACAACGACCCAAAGAGCTTTCCTTTCTAAGATAATCTAAGTCTACTTATCGGGAAGGTGAAAATAGCTTTGGCTATAGCCTCTACTCTTACATCTTGCACCAAACAAGCACAGCCTCTCCCTTCCTCCATGGTTCAGAGTTCTCACTAAGCTGCTCGCTGCTGGCGCAAGTGACTTGCCCGGCTACAAGCAAGTCATGGGACGCAAAGCAAGTCATGGGGCACAAGTGGCTTGCTGAGCTGCGAGCGGGATTTGAGGCTTGCCTGCCGCACTGTGAGTAGTGTGAGCGGGTCTCTATCTGTCTCTCTCTTTCTGGTGTAGGTGGTTTTGCGGATAGCAAGCTGGGTGTGGAGAGGATGAGGGGTCCGACACAAGTGGCTTTGCGGATTACTAGTAGTGTTGTGGACTTGAAGCTTAGGCTAGACTCAAGGGAAACATGCTGGTGATTTGATTTGATGATTTGACTTAGTGGGGGGTTTGTTTTTGGTTGTTTTGTAAAGTGTTTTACGGCGCTCGCAACTGCATAGGTCGTATGAGCGCGCGGGACACACCTAATATTTTCAGTTGGTAGGAAATTTTGAATTTTGCCCGGGTGGCGGCCGAAGCCTACTCTTATCGATTTTAGACCACCAAGGGATCTTTAACGTGCGCAACTTGCACACGGGCCCTCAGAGATTTTTCGCCCTTGTCTGAGAAGGCTAGGTGTAGATCTTTCCTACCAGAAGATCAGGGGTGTAGCAGAAAGACAGCAGTAAGGAGGAGCCAAGGAGTAGCAGTAGAAAGGCTGCAGAAAGAGTCGGGAGCCCAGAGGAGGGGGCAAAGGAGGTGAGGGGGTGGAGGCAGAAAGTGGAATTGAAAGCAGACAACAGAACATTGCTAGAGAGCAGGAAAGGAGGTGAAAGGAGACAATTTTAGAGAAGAAAATTTTTCGGTCGCTACCCAGATTCGAACCCGGGACCTTTGAATGAGAGGCCAACACCTTAACCTCTAGGCCACGAGAGCCCCCCCTAGTGATTTGAGGCTTGTGACTTGAACTAGGGGCTTGCGAGCTCAAGTGGGTTTGCTACCGGGGTACAGCTCTGGAATGTGGGTACCGTTTGGGGATACTGGTTTTGATCCCACCGACGATTACTTCTGGTTCTAAACTATTACTTTTTGACGCACGTGCCGATATGAAGAGATACCCTACTATCAAACCTGCAAAACATCGAATTGTGAATTATGGTCAAATTCAGGGGGGCATACCCCCCCCCCCCCCCCATGTTTTCTTAGGTCAGGGAGAAAGCCCCCCTTAAACCCTCTTGCCTTGTTAAAAACAAGTGAAATTTTACTGCTCATTTTGGTACTGATAATACATTGATACCGAATATTTAAATCAGTATCAATATCCGGTACTCTGTGTGGATGATGCCTAGTCTATACAGACTGGTCCCACTTTCTTAAGTAGTACCGATCTGTCATCTTGTTCGCTGTCTACATCTAAATTATTTGAGCTTGTTCATGGCAAAATCACAGTCACAAGTGGATGCGCATAGCTAGAGAACGACAACTAAATGCAATTAGCCGATATTTATAGTAACAGCCATCTTGTTTAACATCATTACATCATTGAGGGATTCCCACTTTGTCAGTCATGTTGGACAACTTTCAGAACTGTTCGGTTCTGTTTTGTGTGATTTTGCAGCATTCTTCTTCCGCCCAGATTTATTCTGATGCTGTACACTACGTAAACTGAGAAGAAGAAGAAGAAGACTAAGAGTAGGCCTGCATATGAAAGCAAGTTCAAACAAAATTCAACGACGCAGGACAAATGATCGCCCATTTCATTCTGGATCGTTTCATTTTAAGTTTTGTAAGCACAAGAAAGTAAGCACTTACAAGAGATTGGACTCAATAGGACGCTGAGCTGCAAATGGAGTAGGTTTGCAAATGGATACTGTGAGGTGCAAAAGCAGTTTATACAAGGGGGAACCATAGGAAAGACTCAAAGAGGGAAGCTTGGAAACTGGCAGGGTGAGCAAACCGCGAGCTACGCAAAATTATCCCTATTTTTAGAATCACGATCAGATGATGCTGATGGTATCCCCCTTGCGAGGTCAAACAAGATGGCTGTTATAACTATCGGCCAATGGTGTTTAGTTGTCGTTCTCTGGCTATCCACTTGTGTCGCCAGTCACAAGTCACTAGGCTCACTTTCACAAGGTTGCCAGAAAAAAAATGTCATGTTACGCTTTGACATTTTTTGTCTTTAGATGGGAGGGTCCAGGGGGTCGACTGTATGCTGTGAAATCAAGGATCACCTGTTCAGACAGCAGATCCAAAACTTCACACTCTTAAGTGCTATCCTGGCCACTCTGACAGCGGCATTTGTCAGTCTTACGTGCCACTTGCGTTTGCGTCTGAAAAGGACCACTGTTTGATCGATTGAAAAAGACAATGATGGAACGACTCCTTTGTTTCCACCCTGAGCTTTACCCATCAATGTAATAAGTACAATCAACCAATGCCATCCCTCTGCTGTATGTTAAAAAATTCAGGGACATTTTTTTCACGGCTGGCTGTATTCGGTCTCGTGGTCTTCCGAGTGCGTGGTTTCGGTAAAATCGGGGGTAATTCAGATCTCTGTTACCTCTTTCACTATAAAACGCAAAATGATATATACTTTGTGAGGTAGCGTAGTGGAATCAGGCTCTTGTCAATTTTTGGGCATGTAGAGTTATTGGTATCATCTTAAAAGCTTATTCACTTGTCTTTTTTTATTTGGAAGAAAAAAAATATCAATTTACCTGGAATACAAGTCAAGATGTTTGCGAAAGAAGGAGGTGGGGGTCACCTGTTTTCAGAGGTAAAATTAGTGAGAAAATGGCTGCCAAAGATCAGTTATTTCCTTAGCTAAAGAGTCCGTGGTAACTGAAAATTTACATTTTTGTGCCTTTAATTAATCAACGCTTTTCAGAAAAATCAACACAGAAATGAGTTTTTTAATGGGCATGAAAGGTGTTGAGCCAAAAAACAAAAACTTGATAAAAATTCACGAACCTGCAGAAAAAAGCAAGTTTCTTCACTTTGATTATTTTGACGAGAGCCTAATTCCACAGTGCTGCCTCACATAGGCAGTCTGAACACGACTTCGCGGTCTTCCGAGCGCGTGGTTTCTGTGAAATCGGGGGTAATTCAGATCTCTGTTTCTTTGCTCTTTCGCTATAAAACACAAAATGATGTATACTTTGTAAAAGTTCAGCTTTTCCTCGTTACAATGGTGTGTAAGTTGTTTATACATCCGATTATTAGGAGCTGGAGAATCGCCGTGGAAACATATGGTTGTATTGTATTGTAAAGCGCTCAGAGCCTGTGTACTTAAATCGGGGTTGAGCGCTATACTATATAAATGTCATTTATTATTATTAAATTACTAAGATCTTACCTCTAAGAAAACATTCAATTTAATCCACAAAAAGACTTTTTCAAACGCAGATGACAAAACAGAATCACTTTTAACTGAGTAGCCTACAGCATTTAAATCCTTTTTTACAGTCAACTTCTTGCTCATCCTAAGGTTAGCGGTATAATATAACGAGGTTTGACTGTGTAAGTGTCTTTGGTAATTCTCTTATAATTGTTATTTTATTGTAAATTCACTAAATATATAGCTAACTCTGATTTAGATTCTTTATTTTATGACTTTAACCACCTTACCAGGATGAGACCCATCAACACCCACCACAACACTCAGATTTTCATTTGAAAACACACATAAACACCTTTACTCCCTTTTTTCTCCCGCAGCTTTAACTTCTGTTTGACTGGGTTTTCAGTCATGATCCATCCTTTGTAATCTGAGCTTCCTCATGTTCGATCACAGCCAGCCCCACCTTCTGTACAAGTACCACCCACCTGACACCACTGATGGAATTTATAGCCTGCATTTTCATTTCTTGGTGTAAACTTTGGGGAGGGTTTTGTGTCGGGTCCAATCTTGTATACGTTGTACAGCCACTTGGAGCTGTGATTAGAAAGCACAATATAAATTATCGCATGTACGCAGAAGATACACAGTGTACAAATCTATTCTACCATGTTAAAACATTGCCTACCACCATAGGTCTATGCTTTGATGATGTAAAGAACTGGATGATTGATCAAAAGCTCCAGCTTAATGAAAACGAAACTGAAATTCTTTTAAGTACGGTAACCCAAAGAAAAGCCTTATCCCCATAGACATACATCATGTTTTTACTGAAAATGAAAAACTGCATTTTCTTCATCCTTAAGGCAGCTACACGTTCCAAACTGCCGGTTCGGAATGGAAAGGCAAACCTGGCGGCAGAACCACAGATGTAGATGAAAACTCCTAGTAAAAAGTTAAACCGGGAGGCCGAACCAGCAGTTTCAACATGTTTGGATTTTCTGACTACAGTCCAGCATGTTCCGTCGATGACAGCCTTTGTGTGACGTCACAGGCTTAGCTGGCTTATCTTGTCACTGCCAATATCTTCAAAATGATTTACCGCATGTAAAGTCTGATTCCATTTTTGAAACGAGCGACCCAATATTAAGGCAAGAATAGAGCTGAATTTTTGTTTATTCAATAATAAAAGAGATTTTTAAAATTTCCACATTATTCACATGCATTCACTGAAAGGGTTCTCTGTGTCACGATGTGCGGTAAAGAACACACTTGGTTGTCTGCACAAGCTACACAGCCAAACAAGACAACATGGTCTAAAGAGAACATTCTCCAGTTCATTGAAACATCCATACATTTTTCTCTTTTTGTTCGCCACGAGCAACACATAAGCTGCAAGCAAATCGTCATAGTCAGTACCCTCCGCCATTTTAAAATATGACTTGAGCTGCAGTTAAACCGCACTTTGATGTGGATGGCGCGCTGACCCATCGAGCGCGGTTTCAGAGCCGGTTCCCACTCTGGTTAAAACCGCCAGGTTGGAACGTACATGTGTAGCGGCCTTTATTATCGTCATCTTTTCTCTACTTCTTTTGTATGTCATGTCTGTCACTCTCTTGTGAACTGCTATTTCCGGGGTCCCTTGATAGTCAAAGCAGACTTTGTGCTGTTGAAGCTAGAGAGATGGACAGAGTAAGCCTGATTCCCTGTTGTTGACATCCAACCCTTGGCGCTCATATGACCTTATGCAGTTGCGAGCGCCGTAAAACATAACTAAAAAAACAAACAGAAAAAGTGTTGGTTTTTCTTAGCGTTGTCCATCTGTGTCAGATAATGTCTCTATAATTGTACTCTTAAGTCTCTGAGAAATAATAATCTCTCAAGTTCATCTCATATCCTCTTTGTAATAATTTGTTATATATTTGTTGTTTCAGATCCTTTTTCTCTGAAGATAGAATGGCAGCGTCTCTTTTGAGGAAAAGTGTCACAGGAGTTTTACAAGTCCCGAGGCTTGCAACAAACTTTTTATTTTCCAAGTCTCTACCAGTTTTAGCTGTTGAACCTGCTAGGTGTGCTTCGAAAAAAGCTGGTGGTACAGTTCGTAACAAAAAGGGGAGAACCAAGAAAAAGTACAGGGGGCTTAAGGCTCAGGACGGATCATTTGTTCACTCTCACGACGTTCTAGCCACACAATACGGCTTGCGGTTCTACCCCGGCGAGAACGTGCTCCTAGATCCAGACTGCACCCTAAGAGCTGCGTATGATGGAATTGTGGTCATCTCGACAGAGACTTTGAACCCCTATCCCGACAGTCCTCTGTATGCACCCACTCAGAATGGGCTTGTTTTGCAGAAAAAGTTCATCCATGTTATTCCCACTCCTTTACATGGAAAATTCAGGCTTTTGTCGGAAACATGAATGAATGCTTGATTTTCTTTTTATTTGTGTTTTTCATTAAAAATAACTAGATTTTATGGAAAAAAAAGTTTTGTGACTTCCTTCTAATTCCATTTGATGTGTCATTCTCGTTCAGTGAGTTGATAAATTGTGTCACGACACGATGGAATCAGGCGCTCGTCAATTTTTGGGCATATGGATTGGTACGGTATCATCTTTAAAGCTTTTTCATTTGCATTGATTTTGATGAAAACAATACGTAATCTGTCTTTAATAAAAGTCAAGATATTAACAATTGAAGGAGGTGGGGTCTCCTAATTTCAAAGGTAAACTTAGTGAGCAAATGGCAGCCAAAGTTTAGTGACTTCCATAGCTCAAGAGTCCTCGAAAACTGCAAGTTTACATTTTTCAGTACAGCACCGTAAATCGACACATAAAATTGTGTTTTTAATGGATATATAAGGTATTGAGCCATAAAACAAAATTTAATAAAAATTGCATATTTCTTAAATTCCATTATTTTGACGAGCGCCTGACTCCACAAGGCCTCACAATTGTATGCGGAGTATGTAAAGATATGAGGTGCCGGTAATGGTTTACCTCCTCATACTAGTAGTTTACTAGTCATTCTCCTCCTCGTCACTTTTTTTTTTGCTTATATATTTAATTCATTCTGCACTTTCTATGTTGATTTGTTTGCCTTTTCTTATTTGGTTGACACTCAAACAGCCACTGTCACTTTTGAGAGTTCGAGTAAAGAGAAGCACATCAAAATAACAGCTATTTAGTACTAAGTGCCGGGAGCGTCAAACATAAATGGAAAAAAAAGTGAGGGAAAAGAAGTAGGAACTATCACTGTGACTGAGACTCTCTTCAACCACTTGCTGTACTGTCACTTACGATTTCCTCGAACCATGACATTGCTTTAGTTAGACTTTGGTTCTACTTTTAGGAATTGCATTCTGATTCAGGATTACAAAAGCATCTCCTGCCTTACTCAATCAAGACTTTGATCTAAGTAAGAACAGTTTCAGTGTCATAGAGCTAGCATGTGGCGGACCCTGGTATGAAGAGTCAATGAGAAAAGTCACAATAATACAAGCCTATTATAAAAATGTTTTATGCCCCTTTTGAAAAAATTCAGATCACTTGTGAGGCAGGCTGCTTCAACTCTCCATATGTCAAGGTCATCCCAGGCCTGGTAGGATACAACATCCCTCCCAGAAGACTCAGGGAGACTTGGAAAAAATAACTTTCCTTTAAAAAGCGTTTGCAACAGTGAAGAGCCTAACTGTTACACCACAGAGGCTAGTTGTTGCTCTTTCCAGGAAACACTTCATTTAAATTTTCATTTGACATTATTTAGGCGGACTTATTCTATTTTCTTTGGCAAAAGCTTCTCTTGAACAAGGACAATGGCACGACATGATACGTGTATGTAGGCGTATAGGTGAAAAGGACAAGAAAAAGTTCAGACACGAGTTTTTTATTTTTTTAGGCATGAACTTTACTTTTCTCTCCTGGTCTTAGCATAAACAGGGTGACAGCATTTTCTCATTGTATTGTGTACACAAATAATGCATGATCATAGTAATATACAATTCATTTTTAGACAGCACAGAAATTATGACAAACATACAAATCAATTCATTTAAAAACATGTATTATGCATTCAGCAACTGTAATTGTACTGTAAGCAAGGAGTTTACAGTAATGGAGGATGCTCTGTGGGCGGCACCGCACGCCTGATAGGAACCCTCTCTCGCAGCGGAACTGTGGTCTACCTGCGCTGCGCACACGCACTGAAATCTAGATAAGAAAGAAGGTTTTATTCCGAGATTAGGAAAGTCAATTTTAAAAATCCTTCCACCTGTGTTGTGTTTAAGTGTAAGAACTGATATGATGTTGCAGTGGACAGAAGTTTTCACAGGTGTTTTCCTTTAAAAAAAAATCTGAATGAAAGTGTTTTTATGCCCCCAGCGACTCAATTTAGATCATTAACTTTTATAAGGGGTTGGCTGCGGCGCTACCTGCCAAGGCAGACCGGGGCAGAAAGGGGTACACTGTAACAACACCCCAGAAGAAAGACCGAGATACTTGATTTAAAAATATATATTCTTATTCTAGTGTGTGTGTATGTTTGTGTGCGTGTGTGTATACATATTAAACATTTTAATTGAAGTATATATTGCTTTCCATTGTGTGTGTAAATTAGATGCTATGCGCAGCATACCTTTATGTTGAGGGGACAAAATCTAGAGTCTAGGTTTCTACATGTATCTTGTTTTCATATATTTACTAATCTCATACAACACACCTTAGCGTGTTGAGTTCAATCAGTCAGACTTGTTTTATGTTTTTAAGCCCATCCATCTCCTAATTACTATAACTATAAGACTACTGTTGTCTAGATGTAGATATCGAGAGGCTCCATTAAAATATGAAATCAATACCCCACAACAAAAATGATGAATATCTTCTATTTTAAAGAAACACCAAACCGTATCAGATGAGGGGAGGATGTAGGGTGGGTGGATAAGAGTTTGAGTCTTGTTTGATAGAACTATACTCGGTTTGGATCTAAATCTATTGTTGTCTTCACCTAAGATCCCACAATTTATAATTCCGGTTCACTTAAGATTTCGCTGTTCAAAAATAAACCAAACAAAGCAACAATAAATTTTACTGCACAAGTTGTGATAAATTATCCCCCTCTGAAGTATGAAGGGACTAAAAACGCTGCTTTCCCTATCGTACTTTACTGAACAAAAAAAAAATTCAAAGGTAATCCATGCTCATGCATGGGATCACATCGATGCGAGGTACACACGTTTGCTCCAGACGCAAGGATTTTACGACAAAGGAATCACGCCCAGGTGTGAACTCCTCATCAACGCCTTTGATTTTGCCGAACATCGAACTCGCAATAATAAGAGCCCCTCATACCCATGTCTAGAATCATGCAGTCATATCTTCAATTCAGTTTTTTAAAATACGTTTTTCAACATTTCTTATTATAATTAAATCTTTTAGCGTCATGAAAGATTATCTTTATAATTTGGTATGTTTGATAATTTTATGATACTTGGATAAGGTTTGTTTTTCTTATTTTGCCGATCTTCTTAATTTTTAAACTAGCTATATAACATAAAACTCTTAAATAATTGAACAGTCCCTAGGCTTTCTCAGTTGCCTAGAACAGTCCGTATTACACACAGAATTTAATTTTTTTTTCTCCCTGTCATTCTGTCCGTCATCCCGTCAGTTGATCACAATATCTCTCTCTCTCTGCCTGCCTGCCTGTCTGTCTCTCTGTCTCTTTTTCTCTCTCTCTCTCTCTCTCTCTCTATCTATCTCTCTCTCTCTATCTCTATCTATTTATCTCTCTCTATCTATCTATCTCTTTTATTTAATTTTTCCCATTCTCCTTCGTCCCTTCCCAAGGCCCGCCCCTCCTCTTTAATCCCAGCCCCATCCCCTCTTCCTTGCGTGCATTCCCCCACCCCGCCCACCCCCACAACGTGGCCCAGCCCGATAAGATTCTTAAAAAGAAACGCCACAGTTCATGATTTAGCCCACAGTCGGCGGCCATATTTGATCCCCACCGCTGCGTACTGCTCGTGGCGCTGCGAAGACAGAGAGGAGGCTCCTTTAGTTCTAAACTCCTTGACTGTAAGCAAGTTGGCCAACATGTACCAGCATGTGCTTTTATGAAAGAGAGTTTCTCACTCGGCAAGCCAGATGACCAAAATTTAGTAAGCTACAGTTGTCTCCACCTAAACTCACGGTGCTCAGGAGGGTGTCTGTGCATACATTTCAAAGGAGCATGCATTAACATGAAAACCATCTCATTTTCTCGATATTTTAGTGATTACTGTTACTTCCCTTGGGGGTTGAGGGTCATATAAAGAATTCCACAAACGCAATTATGTCTACAAAGGTGCTGAATGAGTGGTGAGAAAAAAACCTGAAAGACAGACTGGTACCGATGTGTACCGGTATGGGAACAGATAAGAAGAAACTTGGAGATGGTCATAAGGGAGAGCCATGCAGCTTTCTGAGCAACCGCTTCAACTACCTGTCATCTGTTGCAAATGAGATGCATGGATGGCATCAGACATTCTGAAAGAATTTTCTAGTGATTTGTTGAACAAATCAGTTGTTAAAAGTTCTGGTGTGCGTTTAGGTGAAGACTACTGTGCAAAGTCATGCATGCATGTACTGGTAATCTGACATCGTAGTTTTCTGCACGGAAGATTAAAAATTTCTGCGCAGAATTTTACCTCCTAAATGACCAAATTTTGCAAAGATTGCGACCATGTTCAAACCTTTTCCATACTGCTTAAAAAATATAAGTACCAATTAAGTACCAGGTACCAATTAATCACAAGCTCAGGAGTAGCACTACAGACACAGTAAATACAATTTTTAAAGCCCAGCAATTAGCAGCATACAATCTGTATTGTTAGAAACACAAGCCCATAATATAATATACAAGCAAAAGTGTGACCCAAAGAAAAGAGACACTATACCGGTAATTTCAAAACCAGGTGAGCTGGCAGTCTGAGCTATGTCATTGATGAACAGGAAGCGTTGAAGAAAAAAAAGACAATTATGTTGTTAGAAAAAAAAAGAATTCCTTGGAAGATGGGCAGAACATAGGGGGGAGAATTATTTGAAGATAAAAGACCACCCCTGCCACAACCTAGCAACAACAATGGTCCCAACATTCTAAAAAAGTCAGAGGTAGAGCTCGCAATTAGAATTAGAAACACCCCAGAAGGAAAAGCCACGGGTGAAGATGGCATAAACACAGAAATGCCCATCCACCATCGATTTACGGGTGTGGTGAAGTACCACATTACATACGTACTAACAGAACAGTTTTCCGCCAAACACATGTTTGCTTTTGGTAAGCTGAAGCTGACGTTCAGCGCCATTTGTTTTCCACGCATTCTTTCCTTAAAAAATATCTATCCATTTTTGCTGAAAGAAAAATCTCGTCTCGCCTGTACTCCTATAAGCCTACAATAGCCGCTACTAGCACAGGCACAATAGAATCTAGATAGAAGGCAGTGTTAGTGTTACTGACTGAAAAGTTTTTAGGCCATTCCGAAAGGGAATGCACAATAGAATTGTAAAAGGGCTGATTTATCAGCATCACGCTCACACAGTGCCGGAATAACAAAGGGAATAAGGGGGACTGCTGCTTTTTCTTTTCTCATCCTTCCTATCTTAATTTTTCCTCTACTTTTTTTGTGTGTTTGTCACTCTTGTGAATTGCTATTTCCGGGGTGCCTTGATAGTCGAAGCAGATTTTGCACTGTTGAGGCTAGAGAGGTGAGCAGAGTAAACCTGATTCCTAGTCTGTACCTTTCTGTTGACACCTGCCCCTTGGCGATCATATGATAAATGCAGTTTCGAGCTCCGTAAATCTTGCATTACATGGGGTGCCCACTACGAATGGGATCGGCCAATTGCTAATGGCCTAAAAAAACAAACGTGTTTGTTTTCAGTTTCAGGCGATCGAGTCCAGTGATCGGTCAGATCCAGCCGTAGTCTGTCCCCGTGGTATTATGCACACCGCATAATTTAGCAAAATTTGATCATTTTTTGCATAATTTCTGGTTATTTTCCTTTATCATTCTTTGTTAAAATTAACAGAATCGCATATTTTCACATTCTTAGGCTCAGTTTGCATATTTTCAGAATTTTTCTTGCATAAAACGACGGGGACAGCGTAATGGGCACCCCGTGATAAAATAAACAAGAATCTAGATCTGGATCAATTTTGTTTCCAAAATAGAAAGAGCCCTCTAATTTCTGGCTTCCGGTGAGAGAGAGATCACTCTAACGTCGTCGGCTCGCTTCAGTTTTCTTCCCCTCACAGTTTACATCTGAAAGCATAATAATGCTGCAAAATTCTGCAAAAAATAAAAATTCCACAGCGCAGTTGATCCATCCATTTTTCGCGGTTGCAGCGCCCGCAGAAAACTACGACGTCAGGGTAATGATCCATGAGTCTCCCATTCTCAAGGAGAGCACATACATTTCTGAAAGTAATATCTGCAGTAGAAAATGCAGACTCAAAAAGCATAAGAAGAAGTGGAGAGATATATCGCAATACTGAGGGTGAAGTGAAGCATGCCAGAAGAAACTTGGAGAAAATACGTTATGATGATCCTAAAACTAACGGACAAAAAAGTAGAAAAATGCAAAAGAAGCAAAGCAATATCTAGCATAGCCAATTGCAGCTACGTGACCCATGGACCACAGAAAGCCTAAGTTGTGTTTGTACATGTTTTATTAAGATGTGTCGTACCATGTTGTGTGCGTGGGTGGTTGGAGGGCGCTGCTGGTAGGTCCTTCATCTGTACTTTTCCTCTTGTTTCTGTCTGTCTTACTTTTTCGCAGCACTAAATGACCGTTGTTGTGTCGATGTATTTCTTTCTACTCAAACAAACAAATGTGAGCGGGGAGGGGGGTGGATGGGTGAACACGGGTATTGACTTTCCAGTCAGTCACTTAGCATGGCTTTGGTGTGGCACCCCATTGCCACAGTCTCCCTGTTCAATGGCAAGACTTGAAGTGAAAGTAAATATCAAAACTAGAGCTGCTGAAGATATCTATGGGTGTTCCTTTTCCCAGCTGTGGTAACTTTTCGATTACAAATAGAAGTTGTATTGCAAAGTGCACAGAGCATGGAATATACGCTATATAGTTGTAATTACATAAATCATTACATTACTCATGCATCTCAAATGATGTCTAATCAACCTTACATGATATTCTAAAAAGAAAGATGAGATAAAAATAATACAATGTATATCACTGGAAAACAAAGGGTTAACAACAGAAAAATTAGCAGTGGGTAATCTATGTAATGAAAATGATCCCATTCATTTATCATTCCAGTACCCAATCAAAAGGCATTCAGCCTAATGTCTGTAAACTTGATTTTGATCCCCGTCTACAACAGGATTTGGCTGTAACAGGGAAATCATGTAGGTCCCAGAGGTTCTGTTACGGCCGGGGTCCGTTGTATAATCATTACTGATTTTTTTCTGACTCTCTTTTTAGGAAGCTCAGGATTTATGACCGGCAGGCCAGTTTATCAGTCTGAAATTTTGTTCTTCTCAGCAAACTCCTTGCTCAAAATCTTCATGACATCCCCGTGGCTAATGCCAGACTGTCTGTGCTTCACCTCAGAGTAACACTCCTTCACAAACAGGGCAAACTTGTTGGGAGTCCTTGGTGTCACGGGAGTTGAGTTGCCACTTCTTTCAATGCTAGACTCAAGGTCTTTCGTCAGATACACCTCAAAGTTCCCCTGGCAGTGACCACACACCTTGTTGTCTGTGTCCAGAGATTTGGAATGACGACCAATTCTGAAAATCAAGAAAAGACCAACACTGATGATGCAATAACTGGCAGCTGTGACGTAAACATCAACTCCATAAATCTTCATACGTATACCATAACTTTGTATGACTCTCACTATTTTACCAAGTTAAGATAAGTGTAAAAGTACAGCTGAACCTGCCCAGACAGCCACTTCTAAAGGCTGCTTTCCATTTCCTCCCTTGCAGTTGTTTTTTTCTGTCTAATTAAATGGCAATGCCTAAAATTAAAACCTGTTCAATGAAATCAATGTGATCACAGACACTATATTTTATCAACCAACAGCCCTAAAAACATGCCTGAGATGGCCACGCAAATCTCTAATCACCCGACACATTGCCATAAATCATTTACCGGCCCCAGACTCTGTGGATGCCATCATAATCCATTTACCTGTTGTTACTTTTTGCCTGCCCTACTATAAATGAACCAATTGCTGACCAGTACATTGCGTGGTTTCTGGTCCCTCCCACAGTTAACCCAAGTTGACCAGTCGGTAACATTTTACTGGGTCTAACACTGTAACAGCAGTCCTAAGCCTGAGGCTACCTCCAGATGTTTGTTTTATTTATTTTTATCAGTCTTGCTTGAGACCGCACAGGCAGCGGAATTTTAGTTGCAGCGGGGGGTTCCCCGCAAAGCGCCTTATCATGTCGGGGTCAGCTCCCTGTCACGGCTCTGTCTGGGCTGACTTAATTTTTGGTACTTTTCAACGTACAGTTTTAGGTGTATCTTTGTATATTTATGGTAACTATCATTTAATGAACCCAAAGCACGAATTTTGGTTCTTGGGACTAAAAAAAGAACGAACATTGTAACTCGTCTGGTTATTTCATTACACGTGCTGAAGTCGGCAATGCTAAATTGTAAATTTTTTTGGACAAGTGTGAATGAAAAAAAAATCAATATAAAAAAAACCAGCACGACAAAAACTGTCAAACTTTTGGAACATGAACGACATAACATTGGTGCAGATACTTAGGAAAGACGGCATCTGAGCATATAATCGAAAGCAGTAATTTTGCAACTTTATCCTTCTGGCACGCAATTCACTATGATGTAATTCTTCCAATTACAGCTTTATGTGTCTAAAATAATCATGAATATTGGCATATTTTCTTGAAAGTTTATAAAAATTACCCAAAAGTCTCTCTATGAAAAAATACAAATCTATTTTAGTGCCAGAATACATCTGCATGTACTATGTTATACACGAACAGTACCTGTTACACTCCAGAAATTCCTTACTTTTTTTAAAACACTAAATCTAGATTTTGTAAGGTGACTGAATACCCCGGTAACATGGATGACTTCTCGTAATTGGGTTATAAGAATAATTCCTAGCTTTCCAGTGACACTAAAGCAGCACCTGACTTTTCCAGCATAATATATCTTTCTTAGTTGTATAATGCAGGCTGCCACAGACACAGCTTGATTCATGAACAAATGCAAAGTAACTTTCTCTTGTTTAATGGTAAAACAATGAAACACAGATTTTAGAGAGATCTGTAGTGACATTTTTAAATGAACAATCATTAATTTTTATTCATAAGTTTGTAGCTAAAATAGGACTAATTGGGTACTCTACAAACACTTGTCTAGAACAAAAACTAAGGCACAGAAATTAACCATTTTAACGCAGATTTAATCTCAAGACATTGAGCTTTTAGTACATTAGTGTAATGGTTTGCTGTGTGGGAAGGGAAAAGAGTTATATCGTTTCAAACATAGACAAAAATGCCTCTTAATCGACAGCGGCAAAGTCGCTTCAGTGCTCATTAACTCCGTGACCCAGAGCCGGGGAGCTTTGGCAGGCTGCTGAGTCACACTAACTAAAAGTAACAGAATCGGGCAAAAATTGGCGCCGTGAGAAGACCTACTGTCTCAGACTAAGTCAGAAAACGACTTTTCTCCTCGATAATGAGTGACCATCGAAGACAATTCTTAGTCTTAGTTCTTACAGTATTTTAACTGAAACAACAAATGATAAAAGAGAGGAACACTTTCACAGAATACACACAATTCACATAGCTTACCGATATCTACAATTCACACACTGGTATGTGTATTTTGTTTTGATCGTGTAGTCATGGCAACGACTTATCACTGGCATGAAAGGAAACATCTTATTGATTTTCCGCGCCCTGAAAAAATAGAGAATGGTTTTTCATTTATTATTACAGAGACATTAGCGTTAACTGTTCTAAAGAAAGGTGTGAGTGACAGACAGCGGTATAACTTAAAATGTTGCAGGAGCCTTTTCATCAAAGAAAGCTCAAAACATTTTTAAAAAGGAAACACAACACACAAAAGAATTGAAATCATAATTTGGGGGGAGAGGGGGTTCTGCACAAAAACAAATCATCCAAAGACAATACATGTAGTTGTATACTGTGAAACTCAAGATTCAACAAAGTCATCAGGCTAGACCTTCAATTTTGTTATCCGAGTGTTCGTTATAGCAAACATGAGGTTTTTGTGTAGATAATTACAGGCACAAAGCAAGTAATGTTATAATGCATTCAACTTCCTCAATCAAAAGTAGTTTGATTTCAAATGAGAGGCATTTTCGTTTCTTTGATGCCATACCAATGAAATTATATAGGGAAAACTATTTTTTTTTAATCCGATTAGTTCAATGCACACCTGTGCCATCTATCATCTAAGATGTATGGTTTGCCAAACAAATTGTCTTGCTGTGTATAGCCTAGCATACGGCAACGTTTAATTTCACAGACCAGTGCGCAATTCATTATGTAGATCTATGTTAAGACTAGTTTATCATTGTAATATTGATCAGTAGCAGGGGGGGGAAAATGACTGGGTACTGTGACGTATTTTTATCTCTATTGACTACAGACGTTCCATGCCCGGACCGCTTGCAGCCACTTCCACAGGACATATACTCCAAGCCTGGTTGTGGTTGATGGGCGCCCTGGTGTGATTTGTCCTTCTTTCCTACCAAATACTTGTCACATCCTTATTTGTCCTTCTTCTTTTTTGCCTTTGTTACTCTCTTGTTACACTTCAAATCTTCGGCACTTATATGACCTAGTTGTGTTGCAAGTGGCGTAAAACTCTTACTGACCTCATGCAGTTGCGAGCGCCGTAAACCCCCCACTAAAACTAAACTCATGTGAGGTACAGCATATATGCCATGCTTTATACAGGGCTGTTTCTACTGATTTGAATATCCCGTGGCTCCTTGCGGTAACTTATTCAACAGTGATTGTTTTATTCCCAAACATGAGTGACTTAGTCTGTGAAGAAACGTTCAGCGCACAAGGACCTAAAACTCAATCAAAGTCAGTTGAGTTTCACAGGTGGTTCGAGAACATACCAAACAAACGCGGGTGGTTGGAGGGCGCCATTGCGCTACCTCCGAATTACACAGTTCTATCTGACATTTTTGGCTGTTTTGAGTTACTCTCGTAAGACTATGAGATCAAAAATAAAATACTCTATCGGTTTTATCGCAATCGTAAGATTATTCAGAGTCGTTATCAAGATATTCAAAAAATTGCATTCGAAAAAGCTTGACATATTGTGAAACTCAAAATTTTACAGTCAAATTTCTCAAAACTAGGTACTGTGCAGATAGAACTTTGTAATTCTGAGGTAACATTTGGTAGGTCCTACTTCTTTACGTTCCCTCTGTTGTTTCTGTCTGTCTCGCTTTTCCCCCCCGCACTAAATGACCTTTATTGTGTCGGGGTGCTTCTCTTTACTCAAACAAAACAAATTTCAATTCAGCAAATAAGCACTCCCTTCAACATATTTCAGAAAAGCACTTTAAAAAACCAACATTAGCTTCGTCTGCATCCGTCTGTTCAAGTTCTGTGAGTCATTCTAGGTCTACCTCTGCTCCTTCCGCCTTATATTTTTCCAGCTTCATACCACTCACCAAGATTTCCAGAACGGTCCGTGACTTTCTCTAACACCGTTGATCAGTCTCACAGCCGCATGACAAAGTTCATGTGCCAAAGTGTCTCGTACTCGCTCTGAAAATTAACAAGTTTTCTTACTTTAAAAAAAAAAATTTGCGTACAGCCAGAACAGTGTTAGTTCCAAAAATTTAGATCTCCTAAAATAAGAATACTCAAGGCATGTCAAAATGGATTAGAATATAGGATGGTCTCTTCAGGCTGATTTACCATATCATCATGTGTGTACATAAAATGATAAAAAAAAGTTGGCAAAATTGCAATTTGAGGAAGTTCCCACTGTCACTGTCAAAAACTTTGCTCTCACTTTCAGATACAATAAGTAGTAAAATGAGAGCTGTTCATATTTCTCTCTTTTTTTTTTTCAATAACAAGTATTATTAGAAATTTCTTGACTTCCTTAAAAGAAAAATACAGTAGTCTCCGCCTAAACGCACGGTGCTCGGGAGGGCTCCTTAGTGTGTGTTTATACGGAGCTTGCGTTTGCATGAACCTTTGCAAAGAGAGGAAGGAGGGACGCAGTTATCTCATTGCCTTGATATTCTAGTGACCTCCCTTTGGGGTGGGGGTCACTTTGGGACGATAATGTGACGACATGCGACGGCTTTGTGAAGGGTTCCCCGATTGTGATTAAGAATACAAAAGCGTTGAAAGGGTGTGTGTGTAAGTGTGAGTGTGTGTGTGTGT